GTTTAAGTTTGTGATCATTTGCAACAACTTCATTAATTCATTTACAGTCCACTGAACGCGTTTGAGTAATTTTATCGGTTCGTTAGTATTAGTGATAGTTCATTAGTTTGTCAGATAATTGGACCTTATGTCGAGAGCACGTGCGTTTCATGGATGGGATTGATTCTGCCGGCTTAAGTCGTTAGTTGAGTCTTCAATGAACACTTGACATTATGTTCATTATCTCTATTAGGGCGGAAGTGGTGTAGTGGCAAGTGGCACGCTTACCACGCGAGCGGTCCGGGGATCAAATCCTGGGTCGTGAGTCGCCCGGGCCAACCAAGCCTTCCATCCCTCCGGGGTCGGTTAATTGGTACCAGACTTGTCTGGGAGGATAAAAACACTGACTTGTACATCGGCTGGCCCCCGCAAGTCATTGTATAGGCCACATCGCATTCAAACGCCACTACGAATGTACAAATGGAAGTAGAATGCGTGCCGCATCCCAAAAAGGGATTGATCAACGGCAAATGCTTTATCCTTTATCCTTTTTCAGGACCTCAGTGATGCTCTTTTTGGAAGTGAATGTGAAAAGCGATGGGTGGATGCGTATTTCCCATTCACACATCCTTCATTTGAACTTGAGGTGCGTTGCAAAAGACTGGACCTTTTTAAATTGTTAGTTTTCGTTATCTCTAATGATACCACGCGCATTATCAATTACATCGAGCGCGAACGTTTCGCATTCGAGCTGTTTGCTAGTAGTTGGATGTTCTCACTTTGTAACTGTCTCCCATATCATGAAGAACGCATTTTCATCGCTGTATTGCAAATTCTGGGACATTTAACACCTTAATGTTCCGTCCATTCAAAGCCTTTTTTGAAAACATTGTTATCCTTTTGCTTTGTATGTATTGTCAAATTTGCTACAGGTGTTTTATGAAGGAAAGTGGTTAGAAGTGCTTGGTTGTGGAATCATGGAACAGCGCTTATTGGAATCTACAGGTGCTGGGGATAAAGTGGGATGGGCGTTCGGTCTTGGACTTGAGCGCCTTGCTATGATACTATATAGTATTCCAGATATTCGGTTAGTGCTTCAGTTCCTTTGTTTACAATTTTGATGATTACAGTGTTAGTCATCCAACTTCTATTATTTACATGCCACTTGCATGTCCTTTAATAAATAAATAAACTTACAGGTTGTTTTGGTCTACAGACTCTGGATTTCTCTCACAATTCAGTGGGAAATCACCCACGGACAAGGTCAAATACAAGCCGGTTTCTGTACATCCTCAGGTAAGAGTAGAGCTTATTCCACTTGACTCCTTTCTCTTGAGTTCTCTACACAATTTAGTTGAAACTGATGAATCATTTTTGGTCTAGATTCTAATCCGAGCTTTATTGCAGGTTCTGTTTGATATGTCCTTCTTTTTACCAGAAGGCGTCGTTTATCATGATATGACTGCCAATGTTAATGATACAGTGAGAAACATTGGTGGGGATCTGGTGGAACAGGTGGGTAAATTAGCAATAATAAACAAAAAGAGTATCTGACTGTCAAACATTCTGAGGATATACGGTAACGAGAGTAGGAGATTCGCCCATTACTTCCTTCCTTTCTACCTTCGTTCCTTCCTTCCTTCTCAATTCTTAGTCAATTTTCACTTCCTTCCAGCATTCTTCGATCTAAATTGTACCAATCCCTCTACGGTAACCACCCATACACTTTCTGTAATGTACTGCGTAATGAACACCTTCTACCTAGCTGGCATGTTATACGAGGTAATCGTGTAATGTGCCTCTAAGGAGTAAGCACTGCAGAATGGATGTGCTCCAGGGAAGTATTGATATGACCAGTGGAAATAGTAGCAAGGGAAGAAAGTACGCTTCGTGGGCGTGCGGCAGTACTTGACATGCGTGTCGTGAAAAGTTGGGCGGTGCCACCCCACTAATACAGAGCCTAACTTTCCCTTCTAGAGGTTCTATCAATTACATGTACCAATTGCTGTTCGCTTACTATAAAAGAACAACGAAGAAACAGATTTCTTTATTGAGACACAACAGGTAATCAAAATTTGAGACTAAAAATAAAACTGTAAGAGAGCCAGCTTTCTTAACCTTATTCGAATTTAGTAGACCTATGTGCTCTTGAGAAAAGCAAGGTGCAGGAAGGGTGTTTTTCTCGATAGACGCGGTCACAATCGTATATAATGGCGACAAAACAAACAATGAGGAGAAGCCCCCATCAAAGTGGTGGAATGTTTTCGATTGTGGTGAGATGTCCTATGTGCAACGAAACGGGATCATGAACAGCGGTATGTCTTCAATAACAAACGCTTTCTAAAAAGCAAACATCTAGATGGTTAGAGTAACATAAGCAACAGAGGAGCGGCGATGGGATCGACAATCACCGACTGATTATTTGCTCCAGTGAGATTTACGGCGCTTGCGACAAATTGCACGGTTCATGCAACTATAAAGGGAGAAACGCGATCAGACACTGACG